TTTGTAGGTTTGCCAAAGTAAAATCCATGTATAAAAATAATGTTCAGGAAGGTTCAATTTATGAATCCCTTTTAAAATCAATGTTAACAAAATTCTCCAGCCAATAACAACATTAAATTATCTTTGTTAGAACTAATATTTAGATACATATTGAAAGGAGATGATATGTAAATGATTGTCTAGATAATACAAAAATGATTTATGTATATAAAAGTTCTTAAGAAAATTTTAATTAGTTTTGAAATACTGGTAGCATTTAAAGAAAACTTTTCATTTTAGAAATTCTTAATCTTAATCCTAACTTCTTCTATTGTAGATAACAGGTTCATTCCAAATTTAAACATCATAACTCGTTCACCCCAACCATTTTTTTGTGTAAGTACCTTTGATCTGATACTTTTCGATCATTCTTATTCTTATTCTTCTAATATTTCTATCTTTGATCTAGTTTTTAAAGGCAACCATACACTAATTTTATTCTTAAGATAATTGTTATAGAACTATTATGTATTGATCCCTCTTTACAGTATTAGGTTCTAAGAATAAATGAGAATTACTAATCAAATTAGAATAACTTGAAGTTATATTTAATTATCCATCACTTAGAATATTAGTTTTTTTTTTTTAGAAATGTTTTTCTAAAATTCTATTAATTTTATATTTAGTCTTATTTTAATTAAGAATAGTTAAAATCATAAACTAAATTTATAAAAACAAGATTAGATTAATTCTATCTAAGGAGAATCCTTTGTCTTAAAAAACAGATTGTTTTATTTAAAAATATTACTTGTTAAATTATTAAATGATTGGAAATTAAAACTTTATTTTCTTTGATTAAAAATTTCAATATAATTCAATCCTTGTCTAATTAAACCAGGACTTAAAATAACAATATTTGAATTTGAAAAATTTTTTCCTATCATATTTTAATCTTTGTGATGCAAATTTCTTTTTTTATTGTCAATCAAAAAAAGGAGGAAAGTTGCTTACAGAAAAAAACGATATTATGAGATCAACATAAGATATACCACTTTATTCGCTTTTATAAATAAGATTGAATTGAATAAAAAAACCTTTTTCTTACACTGAAAAATTAATATTAATTTTCTATATTATTTCCCTCCTTAAGATTGCTTTTTAATGAAATATGAGCAATTTTTAGAGAAAACATATGTAATTGAATAAAATACTGTTAAAGGCAAAGCCTAAAGATTAGATTGCATTTCAAATTTGAAAAGACTATTTTCTTCTTCTGATATAAAGAATAATTATCTCATTAATTTGACATGGTTAAAAGTTGATAACATGATTTTATAAGTAATGCTTATATATTACAAACAATATTCAGCTTCTTTTAAAAATGTTTCATTTAAGCTATGTGTACTATTACTTACTAAAAGTCTAAATGATATAGCCTGCGTTTTATTTGCATAAAGGCTGAAATAGTGTGTAACCCGTATTCATCAATCAGTCATAGTTATTATTTAATATCTGATTTTCATTCTATTACTTCATGTAAAACATTTATTCATCTTAGAAATTTTTTTTAGCTATACTGGATTTAAAGTATTTAAGCCTGTAATATATCTCTTGTTTTTCAAAATCATTAATAATTTATAACACGTTTTAATAAATATTAGTGATATATTGCAATATTATCACATTTAAACTATTTGGCTAAAGTGATTAATAAAAAGTTGCCATAATTTTCAATTGTTTTTTTGTAAAATTTCTCATTTTTACTTAAAGAAGATATTCTAGAATGATATACTGAAATCATTCAGTCAAAGTAAAGAAACAAATGAAAAGCCAAAAAAAGAAAATAAGTAAAAACCAAAAGAATTTTAAATAAAATTATAATCGAAATATAATTTTACATTCGTTCCTTCATTAATAAATTCTGATATTTAAACTTGAATTAACTGATAATATTTTAATAAGCTTTAGGATTATATAAATAATTGAGATCCAAGTAAATAAATTTTAATATTTACTTTATCGGCTTGTGAATTATTTCACAATATAATCTTAATTTTAAGAATCAAAAAGCAAAAAGACCATTTACAATTGAATGCAAATGTATGGTAAAGAATTCCATATAATTGCTTGTTCTGGTTTGAAATTTTCTACGAATGTATTACCCTATCTCAGTTACATATCTATTGTTTTTATAAATTTCATTTATCTAATTTAATGAGAAGTTATTTTAAATCATCAACAAAATAGCAGATAAATGTTTCAGAGTTAAAAATAAGGGGGATTGTTAAAATTTAGGCATTTTATAAAATCGATTTATAAAAGAAAAAATTTACTTAAAAAAATAATTATTAATAAATCATTTATTCTTCAGGCAAATTAAAGGCATATGAAATGAAGAATCCGGGCTATTCAATAATTTTTGGCATTTATTAAATCTACATGATATAATAATCACCCAAATCCTTCGATTTTTTATATATTGCTGGGAAATAGTCTTTAAGAAAGGCTGTGCTATATAATGTTTTTCCCTACTGGTGCCTTATCTGCCTTATCATAAGATATATAGCATTGAACTTACTCTTCTCATCTTAGGCCATTATTTTGGCTTATTGCTAATGCAATTCTCAAACTATTCATTGAATTATCATTCGCATTATCTTACTAGAACAGACAACATTATTCCACTTAAAAAAATTTAGGATATCCCTTAAATAGCAGAGTCGATTTCAAATATTCTTGATTATCCTCTCAAATGTTTTTGAAATGTATTTCCTATTTTCCTGAACATTAAAAAAGTGAAATTTTCAAATCATGGAGGTCATTTGTAAGCATCATTCATTTGAAGAAAGAAACACTATTGACTTAAAACCAGAACTATTCCTTTATCATGCATATATGTAACTCTTCCTTTATTTGAAATAAATAAATTCAAAGGTACTTTTGATGATATCAGTTTAAGGTGGGAAACCCGTAACTCAATTAATTCCATAGGCCATCTATTTAGAAATAAACTTCCTGGATAACTAGAAATAGTATTGATATTCTAGAATCCGATCTTGCTTACAATGAAAATATCTGTTATCACAAAATTTAATCAAAAATTTATATTAATAAAGTCCTTATATGGATAAAATTAGTAATCACTGAATTGAAATTAATATTTTTATAGCTAAGAATAAAAATCAAACCTCTAGATTAAATTTTAGCTTTTGAAAATTTGAGAAGAATAGAAATTATTTATTTATCTTAGCTCATTTTTAACTTTTTTCTTCAAATAGCAGTATTAGATTTATAACAATATTATGAATTCATATGTATTTAAACATATTAAAACTAATTTATAAACTGAAATAGACCAATAATAAGAAATTATAAAAAAGTATTATTCTAATTAACTTATTTTTTTTAATTAGTTATATATTATTATTGAATCATCAAAACCTAACTTTTTATTATTAATTTTAACTTAGATATTGGTATGATTAAGATTTTAATATTAAGCAATAAAATAACATAATTAAAATCACATTCATCATTGTTGGATGAATTTAAATCTATTTCTAATTTATGGGATTTTCATTTTCTATACATCTTCATTTTTTTAATTTAAAAAATAATAATATGTAAAACTTATTAATTTTTTTTAAAAGCAAATATAATATTGATTAACTAAACCATGAGAATCATTATAAGAAAGCAACAAAGTCAGGCTTCGATAATGATAATTAGAAGCTTTTACTTAGTATAAATTAAATCAAAAAATTAAAAGCCTTTAATGATTAAACTAAGATAAAATTGTAAGTTTAAAATTAAATATTCTTAATAAGAATATAGTGCAAAATAATTATAAGTTTATTTTTTTGTTTTTAAATTCGAAATGGTTTCTTGATCTGAATTAATTCTTTATCTTTTCATTTTAATCTTATTTATTTTGATAATTAATATTATCCAAGCAGGATAATTGTATTTTTTAAGTAATTTTAATATACTCTATATTATACCTAATGTATGAATTCATTTGATGCTCAAATAATGTATGATTTTTGCTTTGAGATGTGAAACAGATATAATTAAAATTTTTTCCACTCTTAATTATCAAAAACCATTCATTTATTTTCTAATTAGATATATTTAATTCGAAATTTATTAAGTCTAAGATGCTTTAAATAAAAATAAATAAATATTTAGATAGGATAATATAAAATCTCGAGGGCATAAAGACTATTTAGAGAGAACCTTATTTTCCTTAAAAAATATAGCTGTTCTGACTATAAGCAGAATTAAATATTAAATATCCAATCTCATTTGACTATCATTCTATTATTCAAGGTTTCTCTAAATGATTTTGTGGTGAAAGGAATTAAATTTCCTTCTCCATAAACAATTAAAACACCTATTAAATAATTTTTTGATTGTTTAATAAACAATAAATTTTAGATTGTTTCTAGTTATTATGAGTTGACTTTTTAATTTATATATAATTATCTTTTACACAATTAAGTGGCTTTTTATTTAAACCATACTTAAATGATTAAATTCTTATACAAAAAATGTTAAATAAAAATTTCAAGTCAAACAAATTATAATTCATATATCTCACATTCTTTTATTTCTGGCTTATTTTATCCAAATAAATATGGATCATCATTTTAATTCTTGTATTAACTAAATTAATATGAATGACCTAATTTACAATATCCATCAGTAAAATTACTATCTATTTTAATATCATGTCCACCTCCATGTCCACCTCCAAATACAGGTCCATATCCATTACCTGAATAACAAAAAATAGCATATTATTTTTAATCTTACTTCAAAGGATAAACTTAATCATGAGTTTATGAAAATATAAGGATGATAATGTATCATCTTCTACCCATCTACAATAACTTGATTCCCATTTACAAGGAGAGTATGCTCCAAAGATATAATCACTTTTGGATTTAAATACCATAAGTAAGTTACCTTTACCATGCACTTTATTCCAATATTATTCATGATTTAATCCATCTCTTGTGCCTTAATAAATCAAATCCGACTATTTGAAAATATTACTTGTTAAATTATTAAATGTTTGGAAATTAAAACTTTATTTTCTTTGATTAAAAATTTCAATTTAACTCAGTCCTTGTCTGATTAAACCAGGACTTAAAATAACAATACTTCAATTTGAAAAAATCTTTCCATTCATATTTTAATTTAAGTGAAGCAAATTTCTTTATTATTGTCAATCTAAAAAAGGAGGAAAGTTGCTTACAGAAAAAAATTATATTATGAGATCAACATAAGACATATCACTTTATTCGCTTTTATAAATAAGATTGAATTTGAATAAACAAACCTTTTTCTTACACTGAATAATTAATATTAATTTTCTATATGGTTTCCCTCCTTGAGATTGCTTTTTTATGAATTATGAGCAATTTTTAGAGAATTGAATAAAATACTGTTAAAGGCAATGCCTAAAGATTTGATTGCTTTTCAAATCTAAAATTTGAAAAGACTATTATCTTCTTCAGATATATAGAATAATTATCTCATTAATTTGACATGGTTAAAAGTTGGTAACATGATTTTATAATTATGCTTCTATATTACAGATAATATTCAGCTTCTTTTAAAAATGTTTCATTTAAGCTATGTGTACTATTCCTTACTAAAAGTCTAAATAATATAGCTAGCGTTTTATTTGAATAAAGGCTCAAATAGTGTGTAACCCGTATTCATCAATCAGTCATAGTTATTATTAAAAAATCTGATTTTCATTCTATTACTTCAAGTAAAACATCTTATTCATCTTAGAAATTTTT